GCGAAACACAGCTCACCCCAACTTGCTCTTGCTGAATCAGAGCTGCTCAAGGCGTGGGGAGGAGCAGGTCTCGTAACGATCCTCAGGACCTCTGTTAGCCAGAGCAACCTCAGGGGAAGGGGAGCTGGCCAGCCCCGCGGGGTGGATTTACTCAGGGGAGGCTGTGACCCCTGCGGCTGAACGCAGAGTATTTTCCTTTCCTGCATGACTCAAAGTCCCAACGCCACATCCGCGTGCTGGAGATCAACGGGCCAAGAGGAGCAAACCTCCCCCTCGGCTGGGCAGCCCTGGCTCGGAGCCGGCTCCTGAGGGGTTAGGCAAGGCAGGCAGCATGGGGAGCGGAGCTGGGAGGGGGCTGTTGTGCCAGGCCCTTGCTGAAATGGAGAGTCGCCTGGTGATAACTCAGTGTGGGCTCAGGTGCGATGAGCCCGAAATAACTGCTACCGCTCTGCGGCATGTTGTATAAATTCTCGACTAAATTTAAAAGAAAAACACACGCCCGAGTTCCTGCAAGCACTCGGCAAAAGCATGAGCCCTCGGCTTGAAAGCCACGCTCAGAGCCAGCACTGACACTTGATTAGTGTCTGCTAAAAATAGCTCCTTGCGTAGGTGGAAGGAGAGCTCATAAGCACAAACACAGGAGGATGGGCAGGCACAGGGGTTTTTGGCTGGGGCACCAGGTGAGCAGCGGTGGGACAAGGGACAGCAGCATCTCCAGGCCCATGGAGGAGCACGTCTGCACCCGGAGCCCTTCCTCCTGCACGTCTGCACCCGGCAGTTCCAGTCCTGCCAGCGTGGTGCTGGAGGAGCCTGGCGCCTTCTTTCTGGAACATGTTCGACCCCACGAATGAATGTCACCATCATCCTTCGTGCATAAAGCTCCAGCAGACCTTGTTCGAGCAGTGCCGTTGGCCTCCTTGAGGGAGACAAGACCATGGGTGGGTCTTGAGCAGGGTTTGCCCCCAGGGTCCACCATGGGGGTGAAGATCCCACAATACTTCCTTCGGGAGGGGGGCAAAGCACCTCTTCTCCCTCAGCATCCTTCATCCCAACCCACACACCCAAACTCCTTGAAACATCATGGATGCAGCCACGCTGTGCCCTCGCTAACAGCCTTCGATGGGTAACACATGGGAAGTGGCCCAGGGGAGGCACGTGGATGGAGAAGCACCGGGTGCGGTGAGGCCGTGACCCACCGCGTAGAGAATCAGGGGGTGTCCCACACCTGTGGTCCATCCCATGGCCCCCACGAGCCTGTGATGGGGATAGACAGCAGCTGTAGGATTCTGAGCCATGGGAGAGGAAGACAAAAATTGGGGTGTGAAGGGTGGGGGGAGGAGGAGGCACCAACAGCGCCTCAGACCGCCACGTCTTGTTTTGCAGCACTTCCAGGATGCTGAATGCCACCCACGCACCCAGGCAGTCCCCAGCACCCATGGCTGGTGGCCGGCACACCCATGATGGCGCGGCGGAACGTGCCACACCCCCCCTTGCCCCTGCATTAAGGTCCAGGTGACCCACACCCTGTCCCATGGGCATGGCCACAGGGACCACACAGCCCAAGGTCTCCAGGACCTTCCTCCACACCAGGAGCACCTTAGGTGCTTTTGACTCAGTACATCCATAATTTCCTTTGCAACATCTGCACTTTTCCTCAGCAGGTCCACGTTTTTCCTCAGATCCACAGTTTTCCTCAGCAGATCTGCATCTTTCCCCAGTAGATCCCTATTTTGCCACAGAAGATCTCCACTTTCCCTCACCAGATCCACATTTTTCCTCAGATCTGCACTTCCCCTCAGCAGATCCGTGTTTTCCCTCAGCAGATCCACCTTTTCCCTCAGCCCATCCACGTTTCACCCCGGCAACCCCAGCTTTTGCCGCCTCACGGCCATAGTTCACCT